CTTTGCTGTCACTTTGGGGGTTTCAAGCAAAAATGTCACAAAAACTTGGAGTTCACTCAATGTTCTTGCTATGCTAGTGACGGAAGATCCTCGCGGTGTGTCTTTGGAAGACAATGATCCTCGAGCAAAGGAAATTACTGCAGCTGTTTCTTCAATCCAACTTTAATAGCGACATTCGAGTATAGGATATTACATGCAATGGTTTTATAATGCTATGTGACTACAATATCAGATTTTACAACATAAAAAGGATATGTTAGAGCTCTGTACTGTAAGGTCAGAATGACCTTTCATCAATAAGCAAGCACCAAATAAGAGCCTGTTGTATTTTTACCCAAAACTTTGATCTTGTTAGAGTTAGGTCCCTTTTACTTCAGAACTCTGTTTGATTATTTTCAAGTTTTGTGGAATCAAAAGGTTGGCTTCATTCAACTGGTGTATCTGTCTTTACTGGGATGAAGTTTGAAATTCATGCCCGTTCTCTAGTTGACCCCATCCCCAAGCATTACCCACCAAGAAATAAACTTTAGTGCTTAAAGCTGCTTGCTGAAATTTTCTAACGAAGGATAAGGAATAACTAATCTCGTGATTAAATTTGAGATGAGTTTATTCCATGTTTAGTTGGGATAAAATCGCGATATAACTAATCCTGGGATTAGTTATTCCGGGATTATAGTGTTGTATTTATCCCTATGGAGGTAAAATAACAATCTCGGGATAACTAATTCCGGAACAATTAATCCTGGGATAACTTGTTTTTCAATTAAACTACCCCTAAAGTTTTGAACTGTGCAAAAGAGAGGGCAGTTTCAAGAGTCAATCAGAAAGAAGGGAAAAAAAAGAATATGTATTCACTATTCACCATTTACAGTTACCGATAGTCTTTTTTTTGGTAATTAAAATTTTACTAACCACCAAATTTAAAATTACAGACCATAGTTGAAGCTATCACAGCCAGCTAGAGAAAACCACTATGTCTTTACCTTAGAGATTTTAAGTACACTTCCTAGGGAGTGGGTTTCTTCCATCTCTCAGGTTAAGTTACAAAAAAACAAAAGAACACCTAATCCATCACTAAAAGGAGCTAAAAACACCATGACTGAACAAATTTCCTAATTCATGTGAATGCTCTAACATTACATATATAAGCAATATTCCTAGCAATCATATCCACATTTGTACTACTTTTTCCCGAAAATCCTCTGGTTTCTTTCCCTCCAAACAGTATCACTGACTTCTGCATAGACCATTCTAAAGGCTTGTGTTGATCGTGATTTGCCTTTAGCATTTTTAACAGCCCACTGTAACTATTGATTCCACTTAACTGCTGAATTTTTTTGTCTCCTCATCCATTGAAGGACTTTGCTCCATAATCTTTTAGTAATTTTGTAATCCCAGGGTATGATACCTTATAGCTTCACAGTTACAAATCATTTTCTCATTTTGGGGCTGTCGACTGCTACTAAGAAAATCACAGTCCACATACAAGTGATCTCTAGTTTCATTTTTGCATTGGCAGGGAGTGCATAGAGGATTCATCTGAACTCCCCATCTAATAAGTTTGTGTACAGTACGTAACCTGCCCTGCAAATGTAACCACATAGTAAACTTTGCCTTGGGTCTTGCTTCATTTTTAAACATGGGACATTTCCAAGGTACTCTAGGCTCGTCTCCCAGTAGTTGAAGATATATTTGTCTGATCAAGCACTTACCAGTAATCTTTGCAGGACCAAGTTCTACCAATGTGTATTCAGACAGTATGTAAACAATATGAATGAACCGGAAAGCCAGCATTAAATTAAGATTCAAGATTGTATCTGGACGAGGAATAAATTTTAAATTTTAGAACTTTAGGGGTGAAAGTGCAATTTCCTTCACGTATTAGTATGCACAACAGCACAAGCTTCCCTATTTAAAAGCTTCGGTATTATTCGTCTCCGTGGCTATAACAAACAAAACAATGGAGAAGAAGGAACACGGCGACACTCTCCCGATACAGCCCACTCCGGCGGTTGACGCGGCGGAGGCAGACGACCATAAGCAACTGCAGCAATCAACTCGTCCACGTCCGAAGCGTTTCGTGAAGAACCAAATACCAGACTCCATTCTAAACGACGCAGCACTCAACGCCGCCATATCCCTTCTACCTCAAAACTACAACTTTGAAATCCACAAATGCGTATGGCGCGTACGCACTTCAGGTGCCAAGCGCGTGGCCCTCCAGTTCCCCGAGGGTCTCCTCATGTACTCCCTCATCATCTCCGATATACTCTCCACATTCACTTCCGCCGCTCACTGTTTCATCCTCGGCGACGTGACTTACGGCGCGTGTTGCGTCGACGACCTCTCCGCCGCAGCTCTTTCCGCCGATCTCCTCATCCATTTCGGCCATAGCTGCCTCGTCCCTATTGATTCCACCACTATCCCTTGCCTTTACATATTCGTCGAAATCTCAATCGATGTCTACAGGTTGTTACATGAACTCAAGCTCAATTTTAATAATACTAGTACTTATGACAATATCATTATGGCTGGAACAATTCAATTTGCTGGTGCAATTCGTGCTGTTAAGCCCGAGTTGGAAAAAATAGGGTTTAAGGTTTTGATCCCTCAAGCTAAACCCTTATCAGCTGGGGAAGTACTCGGCTGTACTGCCCCGAGTGTTATGAACAAGTTTTCTGATTGTGAGAGTGTGGTTTTGGTGTTTGTAGCTGATGGTAGGTTTCATTTGGAGGCGTTTATGATAGCGAATCCGGGGATAAAGACGTATAGGTATGATCCGTATGTAGGGAAGTTGTTTTTGGAGGAGTATGATCATAAGGGAATGAAGGAGGAGAGAAAGAGAGCGATTGAGAAGGCAAGGATGGAGGCTAAGAATTGGGGGATAGTGCTCGGGACATTAGGTAGGCAAGGGAATCCGAGGATATTGGATAGGTTGGAGAAGAAGATGGCGGAGAAGGGGATGACTTGGACAGTTGTGTTGATGTCAGAGATATCTCCTACAAGGATTGCGTTATTTGAGGATGCAGTAGATGCTTGGATTCAGATCGCGTGTCCTAGGTTGTCGATTGATTGGGGAGATGCGTTTACTAAGCCTTTGCTTACGCCATTTGAGGCCGAGATTGCATTGGGTGATTTGTCCGGGTGGTGGGAAAGAAAGAAAGCAGTGAATTCAGATGTATGTTGCAATGAAGCTTTGAAGTGTTCAAAGAATGAATCTTCTGGTGCTTGTGATAATGGAGGTGAGAAAGTGAAGGAAGGGGTACCCGTTGATTATCCGATGGATTATTATGCTCAGGATGGTGGGGAGTGGAATTCTTGCTACTCCAAGAAGCCGGCTCGACTTTCACAAAGAATTAGTCAATCTTGTAATGGTAACAGTGCCATCAAATGTTCTAAATGCTGAGCTAATTTTGGTTCCAGCTGAGTACACTGCTGTCGTCGTAAATGGTGTTACACTTCAAAGTGAGTAACTTCCTCATTTTTGCTGTTGAGGCCTCTTTTTTTGTAGTCACTGCCAGAATGGTAGTTATATATTCTATGTAGTAGCACGAAAAAGATGCTTTGTCCAAGTGTATACTTTACATGACTAATTTGTAATATGGTCTTTCCCCTTACTTTTAGACTTTTAGTGGTTTTATTTTGTTAGTATCCTTCTTGTGAGTTATATCTATGTATCTTGGTGTCCAAAAATCTAATGGCGTGGGACAATAACAAAGTTAAAGAAAGCATAAATCTTGCTCCTGCACTTCATGCTTCTTTCTATTAACCAACCCCAGCAGAGAGTTGCAAGCTTGTATCTTGCTATTTCGCTTCGTGCATCACTTTATTGACCAACCCCAACAGATTAGCTGCAAGCTCAGCTGTCCAAATTTATTCCTATATTTCAGCATAAATTATGTTTTCTTGAAGAACAATATTCCTGCTTGTTAAGATATTTAATAGGTAAAATATAGTGGCTTTTAGGGGATTTTTCGATCAGCTGAATCTTGATGTTGACAAAGAAATTTGACTCCTTGATAGACTTCTCCTAAAATGTGAAGGAGTTGGTCACTGTTTATCAGATTTATGTCCTTCATTTCTTTCTACATTCTTGTTTGTTGTACCCTTTCCTCACATCGTAAAGGCTGAGAGAGGTGAGATAGGAGGTTCGTTGGGTGGCGGTAAAACTATCAATTCTATGTCTCTATAAACATTGATCGCATAAAAAAACACCTGGCTTGTCTCATTTCTTATCATCCATGTTGTATGCTTGTTGTGGGGTGGAAGGAAAAAGCGGCAGTTCTATCTTTGCAAAGACATGGAGAACCACCTGCTATCTTTTTTTCTTTTTTGATGAAATAAGTGGGATAAACCACCTACTTCCTTCAACCACGACCATAATTTTTCCGGTCCTAGAGAGGATTTTCACATAAATGTGGTTATTCCTGGGCGCCATTAAATGGAAGGCTGAAAATTCACGGTGAGAATGTAGTGAATGTGATTCTTGCTTGATAACCATCACATTTTAAATGATTATTAGCTCTTCTTATCCCAGAGTCACTGTTAAGTTTTTTTGAGGTTGATGAAAGTTGGTACTCCCTCCGTTCACTTTTAGTTGTCCACTTTGAACTTTTCGCGCCCCTTAGTAAACAACAATTGTAATATGTATTTTACTTGATAACCCCTCATAATAATAGCATTTCAAAGTGTCTTGGAAAATAATTTTGGAAATGAGTAATTAATGTACAGGTCATACCAAGTCCATCATAATTTTGTACTGAGGAAATGTCAAGTGATGAAGACTTCAGATAATAAAATTTCCCGAGAATTTGCACTGAGCATAGCTAAGAAGAATTGATAAGGGAATAGGAAATGAGTTGGGTTTAAGTATTCGGACCATACATTCATCTCATCCACATTGGTTTTGTCATCTTCTTGTAACATTCTTACTCTCCCTTACATCAGTGTCAGTGTAATAGAACATGCATCGATACTGATATAAAAGATACAAAGTACCGTAAATTGCACAAAAAATTTCCTTTAATATTATTATAAATATCTACATGAAACCGTGTTTGTATTTTCCTGTGGAATACACTATACCAAGCATTTAATTGAAAAAGCAAGTAGGATATGTCGAAAGAGGCGAGCTGAGAGTATCAATTTTCTTTGGTATTACAATCCGTCAACAAATCCCAGATTCTTCCAGTAGTTTAAGCAGACTATGTTCAGGTGCACTTACTGATGGAAGAATAACCCGATTCATGGGAGGTCTAGGTATTGTTCGAGTTGCCTCAGAGTCGGTAGTTCTTCCTTCCTTCATAACTGGAATATCAGGCTTTCTAATTCGCACAGCAGAGACTCGCTCTTTCCATATTCTTCCATCCTGTGATTGAAGAAATATACAAATCCTTAGTGATCAGCAGTTGTAACTTGTAAGAGATAATTTTATTCATGGTCACTGAACTTTTATGTTTGTTATCCAAAACTCACTTTTCTTTTTTTTTGTTACGTAAAAATCATTCAACTTTATCACTTTTCTTTCTTTTGTTACACAAAAATTATTTTACTTTGCTCTACTTATCACAAAAGTCACATTTTTACTTAAAAAGTCTTTTATGCCCTTGATATTATATAAACTTTCATATTTATGTAATACATTGTATATTATATACTAGATAATATATTTTTAACTATGTATTTATGTATAAATAAAATAACTTAATATTATTTTATTTTTTATTTTTATAATTTTTTGGTTAATTTAATTTTTTCTTAATGTTAATTTTAAAAATATATTAGTAGCGTTATTAAATTTATCAGTAACTTTAATATACATTAGTAGAGAAATAAATCGGCAAGTACATTTCCGTGAGAAAATTCGCAGGTAAACAAACAAAGAAAATGAGGAAAAAATCATATGTTAATCTGAAGGAAAATTCCTAGGTACTACATGTGAATTTAGCTGGGGATATTTTCTTGGGATTTACCTGTGCAATTGGTTATTTGGAAAATTATATTACTTGAAATTCGGGAAAAAAAAATCCAAAAAAATTGACCAAAGTTGGTCGGAAATTACCGACCAACTTTGGTTAGTCAATTAAAATAAAATAAAAAGAATTGCTGAAAACAAGTTGTTTTATAACGCTACTAATATATCTTAAAAATTAAAGTTAAAAAAAATTAAATATACGAATATATTATAAAAATAAAAAATAAAATAATATTAAATTATTTTATTTATACATAAATACATAGTTAAAAATATATTATCTAATGGGTTAATAATGATCTTGTTACTATTACCAGCCATCATATTCCTCATTTCCATTACCGCATTCAAGCACAGAACAAAGTCATTGAGTCCACCCTCTAATAAATAGAACTAACTTGGGAGTATAATTATGCCAACAGAAGCAGTCGACCTAAGTACTTGTCACCACAGAGCAAAACTTCAGAGACATAGGGAGATTTGAGATCTTACATTCAATATTGAAGGTTCTGGAAATGGACATTGAATTGGTCGATCAATATTGAGAGGCTCCATTGGTTGTTCAACTGGCTTGAACTCGACTGCAATTTCAATACCATTAGGCGTAACAGAGGGAGCTCCAGTTATAGTAGCACATATAGCCTCTGAATTTGGGGGAAGCACTTCCCTTTCATCCTGCATTTGAAATTAGATCACAAATTGCTATACCTAAATCAGATATAAATCTCCGCTTAGGAAAGAAGTTTAAGTTGACTTTTTGCATAAAGGAAAATGGCTTTCCGAGAAATTTTCAGTTGGGATCCATTCTTTTACAACTACAAGACATTATTGTTGTGTTTTCAAGTTATGAAACATTGTTGAGTGGTTAATCACAACACTTGGCCACTGATAAGTTTAACAAGTTAACAACCAATACAATGAACTTAACCAGTCAATTCATTGGAAAAAAAGAAAAATCATAACAAACATTATTTTAATGAATTGCAAAACAAAGACCAAAGGTAGGCACCAAAAGAAAAGTTAAATTAGACACAATTTAGAGACTGAAACCAAGAATTAGTCAACCTCAAATTCCAGTATATCAAAAATCTAAATCGTAAAAACAAAGAGAGAGGGAAGCTGACAAGTGCACTTTGTGTCCGACGATGGCCAGCTGATCTGCCAACAGAAAATCTAGAAAAAATGCCCACCATATTATGACAACGCCGCACCCAAAAGCCAAAAGGGTGTGTCTTGATCCTCTTGTCCCTAGATATTAGTTTCAGAGAAAGAAAGAATGAAAGGGAGAAAGAAGTAAAGGTGGGGTTTAGCTAGTTGGGTTTTGCCTGTATGATCGGTTAGTTAATATTACTACTACGTGGAAGTTGAATCTTGAGAAGTAAATAAGCTGAGGAAAAGAACAAAAGTGTTGGTTCGATAGAATCATTTGTTAAATGAGTAAAGAAAAAAAACAGAGGCTGTTAGTTAAGTTGAGGTAGGAACTTAGCCCAACTGTCATGTGTTGTGTTTTTGTTTAAGTGGGGGTTAGACTTCTATTTGTAATTAGTTACGCAATCTATTCCTTCTTCGTTGTCTCTGTCTCCTCCACTGGGGCCCCCTGGCAGCATCTCTTCTATAGTTTTATGAGTCAATTAATGGAGTACCACGCAATGGGAGCACCCCTTTTTATATTTATTGTTATTTTTTTCAAATAAAATTTTACTTGAGTGAACCTATTTAATTGAGTATACAGAGATTATTAAAACTTATTGTAATTATAGCTTGTCATGATATTTTTGCGACTATGAAATCATGTTTAATAAAAGTAAATTAAAAAATTTAAAATAAAATGTAATCTTTTTAAGAATGAAAAGATTGGAACCGGACCCGAAAGGTACTTATAATATTTATAGGCGATATTTACAAGGTCAGAACCGTTGCATGTAGGGCTGCTTATCGGGCGAATTCGTCGGTTATCTACTCTTAACGGTTTGACTTATCGGTTATCGGCTTTTAGATGTATTAATCCGCTAGCCACCCGATAAGATATCGGGCGTATCGGTTTAGCTCTTATCGGGCAGTTTATCGGCCTAATTCAAGTGAGGTTATCAACTCCCACCATAACTGGCTTTCCAAGAAGTTGGCGGATACCCAAACATATCTGCAACAGAAATTAAGTTGTCTCAGAGAAAATGTTTCTTAAACATAAAATTCAATGGACAGAAAAAGAATAATGGTGCATATTTTTATTCTTTCTTTCCTATAACTCAATTTGACTTCTATTTAGAGAGTGAAACTTTTGTCATCTGTAGCCAATCATTTATTTTAAAAAGTTGAACTTAAGGTTTTTAATGCCTTCAACGTTTCCCCAGAATTGAGAATATGGGAAAATCAATAAAGAAAACTTTCTACGACCCAACTGGTCAACTGTTGTTGCATCCTTTATGCATTATGCCTGAAAAAGACTTGTTTACAATGTAATACTACTTCATCTGTATGAGTATTCCAAAACATTTGTATGATTGAATTTGATTCTGAACTTTCTGCCTTTTTGTAAAGTAATTAACAAGGATTATGTTACATATTTTTCATAATTCTGATTTTTTAAGCGTTAGAACTTAGAGATAGAGTACTGGAAGAGTGGAAGACTGAAGTGGAAGGGTTTTTGATATTTAATATATATATGGATAAAAATAATTTAT